GCCTTGGCACCTGAGCCAGGTGTGGATGCTCAGACAAGGGTTCAAGGGGCCAGTCCAGGAAGCATGGCAGGGTGGGGAACGAGAAAAGGAGAGAGGAAAGGAAGTCGGGGTCTGTGTGTTCACCCCCCATGGGTCCTACTTTCCAGCAGCAACCAGAGGAGTGGCTGGACACAGTGCGCACGTGCAGAAATGGTCCCTGCACTGAGCTTCTGGTCAGTCCAGGTGTGGCCTCCTTGCCTCCTGCCAGCTCTGCCTTTTCTCTCTGTTTCCATCTCTCTTTGCTGTTCCTTCTGTCTGTCTCACGTTGTTTTACCTCCTGTTGGATCTTGCCTCACCGTGGCTTGATGGACAGCCAGTGTCCAGACAGCTGTTTCCTGGGGGCCCGGGAGCTCCTGGATTTTCTTTCTCAAACTGTGGCAGAGCAGGGGAGGCGCGTGGCCAGGGTCGGCCATCAGCAGCAGCTGTCATTTGTTCAGTGATTCGTTCCTGCATTTGATCCCTCACTTTACAAAGGTTTATTGTGCCTTTTTGTGGTTGGCTGTCTTCGAAGGGCTAGGGATAAAGCTAGGACCAGTCAGGTCTCTGCTGTTACAGGGCAGGAGGGCAGAATAGCAGAGTGGCTGCTGCCCAGAACCCAGGAAGCCACTCTCAGGTAGACATCCTGACTCTGCCACTTACTTCCTGTAATGCTTTAGGAGGAAAAACCAACTCCATGTTGCAGTATATTCCCCGAATGCCTTATCTTGGAGGGTTTTATAAATTGGTGGGAAGAGCCATGGGAAGCCTTTATTTAGCACAGTGTCTGGCACGTTAGTCACACACAACACTCCCCTGAGAGCTTTGTGAGCAGAAGGACCAAACGTTCTCCAGGACACCCTGCTCCCTTGGACATTGGGGTCCCTGACCTGGGTGCTCCCCTGAGGTCTACTGTGAGGCCCCTGGCTTTAGAGTAGGTTGGTGGCAGATGCAGAATCAGCATGTGCCCTTCCTCCACCAGAGAGGACGTGGCCTCAGCTCAGAATCCCCACCTCCCAGGGCTCCACCCACCCCCCAGGATCCCTTGCACACAGTCTTTTCCTGCTGATGGGCAGATAATAATAACAAGGTATCCTGAAGCCACGTAACTGCCGTTCTACCAGGTCCTCACAACTCTGTGAAGCGGTCTTGGGGTTTTGTGATTCCATTTAGTAGATGAGTAGACTCAGTCCCAACCAGACTGTGCCTGGCTGAAAAAGTCTGACAGATGGGAATGTTGGTTCCATCATCAGGATCGTGCCCAGTTCTACTTCTCTGTGCCTTGGGTGGCATCTCTGGGTTTTTGGCATCCCTTGGGAACGCTTTGGCCACTGCCTTGCTTGAGCAAAGATAGAGGAATGTACAGGTGAGATTCTGTGGGGATCTGGAGCAGAGGATATTCAGTCATACCCCGCTCCTGAGTACTAACTCAGATACACGAGCAGGGTGCCCCTAATGTAGGCAGGATGCAGGGGCCTGCCTGCACCTCCTCTCAGAAACAGCAGTGGCCAATTCCCCTCTCCATCTCTCCCAGCTCATCAAGGTCAGGAAGGTCACAGTAGGTAGAGTGTGGGAGACGAGCAGCCACAGAGAGTGGTAGGACAGGAAACACCCGCCTAGAAAGTGACCTCCTACTTCATTTACTTCTGGTCTCCACCAGGAAGAGGGTGATCTCATTCAGTGGTAACAGCCTTCAAGTCCTCTCTCTAGTACTTGTTAATGACCCTTCTAAAACAGGGGACTTCAGGCTCACAAGTAACACATCTAATTAGAATCTAATGACATTTTGGTGTTTATACTATGGTTATTTCTGTTTTCAATTGTGACAGGTGATAATGGATTCTCATTTACGATAGTGCAATACTATCTTTTTGTACGATATATTTCCATAAAAGAGATAAGTAAATCCATTTAAAAGAAAATATGTCCAGGGTCATAAGGATGTGACAAATTTCCTAAAGATGTTATTTGAGGAGCTGATTTTGGTAAAAGAGTAGTTCTTCCATTTAGTACAGTCTGTGTCCTGGAGACTTCTCTGAGTCTGTTTTCTCCACTGTAAAGTGTAAATGGTAATAATGCTTTCTAAGACATTTGTGAAGATTTAATAATAATAACAACAAATATTTACAATAATCATGCATTCAAGTTTTTTCCACATGTCATACGTGGAAGTCTATCACACAGGCTCTCTGACACCAAAAGCCTTGAGCTAAATTTGGTGCCATGTTGAATAAAATGAAGGCAATAAAGTTTTACTATTTCATCACTGTCCTTATGGCCTCTGCCTCCTCCTCCTCCATCATCATCATCCTCTACTGGGGACCCCCTGAAACATTACCAGAAACCTCTGCAGTAGGCTCCAGTCTCCTACTCAGTATACAACTCAGGCCTGAGAATAAACCTAAGAGATAGAACTAAGAGACACAGAAAGTGGGGCACCTGGATGACGAGTACTGGTGAAACTGGCCAGTCCAAGCCATTGATTTTTATTAGTAATCACTTGGGGTAAAGACAAGCTATGTGCAAGGGCAGAACTATGTGTGAAAATGTGCAGTTGTGCGGTTTCTGTGGAAATTAAAGTAAGCAAAGCTTGCAAAAGACAAGTCAAAGCATTCTCAAATTAGGAACAGAATAGACAAAATATATGGTTGTAATTAGAACATTGCCCTTCTAGTTAAGAAGGTGTTAGTTATGGGAACAGAATTTGGGTGTGAGTTACTCTGACCTCACATGTAGGCTTTGGCCAGATTCTCTTGTATGAATAAGCCCATTGTGGGGTTAACTGTTTTGTTTTGGTACCAGGGATCAAACTCAGGATACTGTGCTTGTGAGGCAGGCCAGGCAAGAGGCAGACCAGGCACTGTGCCATTGAGCTAAATCCCCAGCCCCTGTGGGGTTCACTCAGTGCAGCCTGCACTGCGTACAGCCTGTTTCGGGCATAATAATAATAATAGTAATAATCCACCACCACTGTCGTCAGTCGGTGCTGTCATAGCACCCTCCCTTCTGTCGTCACCCCTATCATCACCACCATCTTTGTGGTCGACGACCTCGGTCACCACGATGATCACCTCACCACCACCGATTACCAGTGTTGTCCTCGTCATTACGACCGTTTCACCGCCACCACCACCACCGTCATCCACATCGATAGCGTCCTCGTCCGTTTCACCCCCGCCACCACGGTTGTCGTCGTCATCACACCGGCGCCGCCATCTTCTTCATCACTTCTGAAAGTGACAGCACTGTTTTCATTAGCCATGTTTCCTCTGAATCTCGGTTCATCAGCTCTGAAACGAGCACTGGAAACGAGGGTAAAGTGATGCCTCTGTGGTGATCAGTGCTGAGTCTCTGGCCTATGGGTGGACCCCAGGAAGCAACAGTTACTTGTGATGTCTTTAATGACAGAGGCTGTTGCTATCCTCCTTGAACAGCGTTGAGATAAAACACTTTTTCCAAGTTTCCAATTTTCCATAGGCCAGACTGTTTCCTCTAGATATTTTTTTAGAGAGTTGGTCCCTCTCTTCTTGGGTTGGACTATGAAATCTGTGGACAGTTATCATTTTTGTTTCAAAGGAGGAAACACACTTATGGGATGATAAGAGATGGGAGAGTATTTTTAAAGGTTAGTACTGTTGTTTTGTTTTAATAAATCATTTATTTTTATTTGGATTACAGAGTTAGGGCACAACCACTGTAGAAAGCTTGGAAAATACCAAATCTCCTTACTCGGTTGTTATTAATTAATATTTGGCTACACTTCTGTTTTTATAATTTTAACAACCGTTAGGAATGATTAAGTGTACCTCTGCACTGTGGTCTAGTCTTCCCATCTACTTTTCAGTTAACATTGAACCCTAAGTATTGTCCATGTTGCACAAGGTCTCTGCTGTTCATTTCACACGGCCTTGTGATGAATTCCCTATAGTGTGGCTCTCCGTTGTGCGACTGCAGCCGCTTCTAGTGGCCTTCCTCCCCCATTGTAACCTGGCCACGTGGCCTTCATGGTGTTTCTCTGGCATGCCGTGTTCACATCTGCCTCAGAGGTTCTGCATTGTCTCCTGTACTTCTAAAGTACTTTCCTGGTTCTCTTTTAAAAATGAGTGAATACTAGTCATACAGAAAGATGGGTTTAACTTTGGCGTATTTATACCGCATATGACATTCCTTGACCATTGCCCTCCCATTACCCTCTCCTGTTTTCCTCCCCACTCTTTCAATCCCCTTCCTCTTCTCTTTAGTTTCTCTTTTTAGAAAAGTCTTTAGTTTTGTTTCTAGATGGCTCATATGAGGGGAAGCATGATGTTTGGCTTTCTGAGCCTGGCTTATTTGACTTGACATCCTGATTTCCAGTTCCATCTGTTTCCCTGCACATGATGTGATTTCACTCTTCCTTCTAATATTCCGTCATGTATACCACATTTGCTTTACTCATTGTCTGTTGACAGCTACCCAAGCTGACTTCGTAGCTTAGCTGCTGTGAATTGTGTTCTGCCAGTATTGCTGTCGTGTGCAGAGTTTAATTCTTTTGACTTCCTTCTCATCTTTCCAGTCTAGTTCAGTGATCACAATGATCACACCTTTCTGGACCCTCTGGGACCACCTTAGTTAGATAACAACTCCCTCAGTCCAGTTTCTTCTCTCTCTGTGTGTGTGTGTATGTGTGTATGGGACTGCTATCGCCTAGAATTACCTTAGTTCTCTTTACCATATATTTTGCTCACGTGCTTGTTGTCTCACTCCTTCAGTAGACTGGAAGATGCATGAGGACAGTCACTTGGTCAGTCTTGCTCACCACCAGTTTCCCACTTAACAAAGTTCCAGTCACAGAGCAGGCCTGGCACTGCCTGGGAACTCTGCCTTGTCAGGTTCCCCCGTGAGGGTGGGGGGCCTGGAGGGCAGCAAGACCCTCGGAGGGGCACTTGGGTGTACACCCACCCATGCCTGGGTCTCAGCACCACATCTCTTCCTGATCCCTTATGCAGTGGGCCGGAAGCAGTTCATGCGGTTTGAGTGGGCAAACCGAGCAGCTGAGGTCCTGGGCTGTGAGTATGAGGAGCTGAATACAGCTACTTTCAAGCACCACCTACGACAGATCATCGAGCAAGTGACATCCGGGCCAAGCCGACGGGGCCTCAAGGATGAGGAGCCCAGCCCAGGTATCATGCTGTTGCCTCTCCTCTAGGCCTGCCTCTGGGAGCTGCGAGGGCTTCAGGTATCAGGCTGCAGCCTTTCTCTTGTCCATCCAGGGTTGACTGAAGACCTTCCCCTGCCTCTGTGCCAGGTGTGGGGAAGCCACAGCAGGAGTCTTGGTTGTGGCTGCTACTGCACAGTGCTCATAGTCATAGCTTTGCCCAGTGATCATAAGGGTGACTGGACCCTGGGAGGGAACCCTGCATGGGGCAGAGGGGACAGTTCCACAGGATGGAGGCCTTTCTACTGGAAAATACGGAAGTATTTTTTGAGTGCTTGCTTGGAAAGGAAACCTGAACTTTCTGTTTGAGGGACAGAAATGAGGTTGGTGTGGTTGGATCAGGTGAGGAGGGTGGCTGCAGGGGAGTCCGGAGGGCAGGTTGGGACCTGCTCACAGTTGGTGTATGGACCAGGGTGTGTGTCTCAGGCCTGATGAGAAGCCATAGAGGGGTTTGAGCAGGGACAGGGCATGGTTTTCCTTTTTCTTTATAAGGCTCAGCCTGGACAAAGGTTTTTTGACTGAGTGGGAGAAGAGACCCTACTGGGAGCCTAAAAAAGTTACTGAATGAGAGAGGGTCGTGTTAGATTAGGAATAAGGTGCGGGAGATGGGATGAAGGGATGATGGCTGGGTCTGATTTACAAATTGAGCTGAGATAGCACAAGCCCTCAGGATAAGAGCAGGACCAAGTATGGCTTCTGGGGCTCAGCCTGAGTGACTGGAGGAGTTGGGGGGGCTCCTAAGTGATTTGGTGTAAGGGGGATTGATTCTGAACCTCTGCAGCCAAATGCACTGGCTGCAGAGAGAGAAAGGGCAAAGGAACCTCTGGGAGCCCCTGGAGTCCTTTGAGAACTCTCTGAGAGTAGCTTTTATTGAGGCAGTGGAGTTTGGGATTAGGGAGTGGAATCAATTCTGAGCTGTGGTTTTTGGGGCATGTCTTAGAGCTCTCTTGGGTCCTCAGAGCTGTGTCCACCTTCCAGGAACTTCTGCTGGCTGGCTGAGGCACTAAGACCCTGTGGGCCTCTTACAGTTTCCTTTAGACCCATGCTCTCAAGTGAGCTGTGGTCTGCTTGCACCTTTTCTAATGTACGTGCACATACGCAGGTGTGCACAGCACACTTGTGTGTACACACAAGCACAGACACATACACAGAGCTCCTGGGCACTGATGTATAGTGCATGTGCACACACACACTCACTCAGGCACATGACACTAATGCAGAGACATATGACATAGTCTCAGAAACATGCACAGCACATGCTACCCACATGCACACACAGACACCACATGCATGGACATGGACACACGTGCCACACCCATGCATAGACACACAGATGGCTTTGTGAGAGTCTGAGTGAGCCTCTCCGGCCCAGGTCTCGGGTAGACATTAAACAGGCAGGGGACCCGCAGGCTTAGGAGAGATGTGGGGAGGCTGTGTGTTGCCTAGCAACAGCCTGGGGCGGAGTAAACGGAGGGATAGGAAGTGCTTTGGGGGCTGTACTGGGCTGTACTGGGCTGTACTGGGCTGCCTAGAATATACGAGCCGAAGGGTTTATCCAGGCACTAGTGCTTGTAGATTTGGAAGCTGGGTTTCTAATTCTGTGGATGAAACTCAGACTCGAAGATGAGGACGTCTTTGTGACCAGACCCTGCCGTTCCCTACTCTGCTTTATTTCATACAGCCAGCCGAGGCCGACGACTTTAATGGAATGCACACAAGCACATACATGTAATGCAGATCACAACCAAAGTAGAGTTGTGTAAGCTTTTCTAGTCCCCCTAACATCGTAGTTGGGCACTTTCCCAAATGTCTCTATCTTCTCCTCACCCGACTAGGAGTGTCTCTTTGCACAAGTGAGCTATGAACAGTCTTACGCATTTGCTACTGTGGGGCATTGACATTTCAAAAAAGTGATCCTGCCAACTTAACCAACAGTTGGAAGAACAGTTGGAAGAAACCTTGTTTCTCAGACTGTTTCATTACACTGAGAGACAAAGAGTAAAATTATAAGCCCCAGTAGATGAATAAATTATAGCTTCTGATATAAAATTGTCAAATTTCCTTCTGGAAAATGAGAACAGCAAACATTTACTATATTCTTACTACATGCTAGACACTGGGGATTTAAACAGCAAAAAACTCAAGGACTGTTCCTAACTTTAGGGCACTCCTAGCCACATGGGGGAGACACAGGTTAATAAAATAATCACACAAGTGAATAGTTGGCTACAGTTGATTGTAAAACAAAAAAAAGCAAGTTGGGAATTGGTCTAATGATGGTGGTGATCATCATGGAAGGCTTCCCTGAGGAGGTGACTGTATTAGCTCTCCACTACTGTAACAAAATACTGAGCTAACCCAATTTAGAAAGAAAAAAGGCTTATTTTGGCTCATGGTTTCAGAGATTTTAGTTCTTGGTTGCTTGGCCCTGTTGCTTTTGGGTCTGGGGCAAGGCAGTATTTCTTGCGGGGAGCACATGGCAGAGGAAGCTGCTCACCTCATGGTAGTCGGGAATGAGGCAGGAGAGGAAGCCTTCTTACACGAGAGACTAGGATCCCACTGGCCCCTTCAAGGTCTGGAGACCTCCTGCTGTACCCCACTTCTTAAAGGTCGCCCCACCTCCCAGTAGTGCCCTGGTCTAGGGAGGGACCAAACCTTTAATGCATGGGCCTTTGGGGGACATTACGGATCCACACTGTAGCAGTGACCTTAGGTACAGGTTATATGACAAGACACTGGACTTTGTCCTAAGAAGGTGGACGTATTACCTCAGCAAGGGAGGGATACGGCTGGGAAAGGGACGTTTTTGCCATCAAGCCACCCGTACTGCTTTGTAGTTATATTCTGGACCCTGTGACCACAGGATCCTGACCTTGCCTCTTGCCCATCTTCAGGTTTCAAGATGACAGGCACGGACTGCGTGGAGGGCATGGCCTCAGGCCTGTACCAGGAGCTCTTTGCAGCTGTGGTCTCACTCATCAATAGGTAACCGTGGCCTTCTGTCCCACACAGAGTAGGTCTCTTGCAATGGAGCAGTTTTTCAGTGTGGTATTTTTTCCCTTTTGCCAAGGAGCACTGTTTTTTATTTTATGAAAAAATAAAACAAAATTTAATAACAAGAGAATAACAATAGTTAGTACCCTGCATATCATTATCTTTTTTTCTTTTTTCTTTTTGTACTGGGGATTGAACTTAGGGCTTTGAGCTTTTGAGGCAGGCCGTGGCACCCCTGAGCTAAATCCCCAGCCCTCTATCATTACCTTCAAAGTAATCATTGAGAATACAAGACGTAAATCACAGAGTGGTATTTTTAAAACAGGCGAGAGGGTTGTTAATGAGTGGTGCTGGGTTTAAATTCCTCCATGGCTGCCCACTCACTGGCTGTGTGACTTGAGTGACTCCGTTCACTTCTCTGACCTCCCTTTACACACCGGTGAAACAGCTCTATTCCCAACAGTTGATGTGAGGGTTTAAAAAACGATAATGAACTGGAGTGACTCTCTAATAGTGACAGTAAAAATACTAGTAATAAAACCTGATGACTTTTAGTGTCTTCCAAAGACTGGGGATACCTCTCATGGTCTAATCTTCCTCCTATCATGTAGTCTCACGTCAGCCCATTGCACAGATGAGGAGATGAGGCAGGGAGGCTGGAGCCAGCAGAAGCTGTCCCCTTACGTCTCGCCTTTGAGTCTCTCTATCTACCCAGTTGTTCTCATCATTTACTTGCTTCATTTTTCTTGCTGGGGACAGGGAACAAGCAGAGTATGATTTCGGGGTGACTGTGCCTACGAGGTGCACCTGCCAGGCTGCAGGCACCTGCGGCCTCAGTTTGCATCTTCTTAGTTCATCTTGGGAAACCCTTGAAGTTGTTCCAGTAGGGCCACTGAGGGAGCAGGAAGCATGCTTAGGCTTCTGGAACCCTGTTAAAGGATGAGGCTGGCACACAGCCATAGAGAGCTGGGGTCTCCAAGTTGGTGCCCCTTGGTCTGTTGCTGGCAGAGAAATCGCCATCAGAGACTGCAGGTGCATTATCCGGAAGCGGAGGGGATCACGTGTGCAAGGGTGGAAGGTGCGCTCAGGTACAGAGCCCTGTTAGCTTGCAGGGGCAGCCTCTCCACAGGTGGGGTTCTCGGGCCACATCTGTGAGATGGACGTGGTGTCAGTAACAAGCCCTCGTTTGTGAATCTCTATTAGGCACCTGGCTTCCCGGGTCATCTCTGTCTTCACACTCTATTATACGGGGACCTCAGCAGGAAGAACAGGACCAGGGTTCACATCTAGGCTTCCCCCAGGCTGTGAGCTGATCATGCTAATGATGATCATGCAAGTGACATTTCCTGAGCACTGAGCACATGGCAGACTTCACATTCACAGTGGTGGATGCGTTATCCAGTGTCCTCCCAGGGGCCGTCATAGCTGGTCTCCATCATTAATCCTTTTTTTTTTTTTAGTATAGGGATTGAAGCCAGGGCCTTCTCACTGAGCTACATGTCTCAACCTTTAAAGATTTTTACGTGAGACAGCGTCACTAAGTTGCTAAGTTGTCCGCACTAGTGCTGGCCATGAACTTGCAGTCTTCTTGCCTTGGTCTCCTACGGTGCTGGGATTACAAGCTTTTGCCACCACACCTCTTCGTCACTAGCCCTTTCATGGCCGAGGCTCAGAGAGGTTGTGAGCCTCTCCAGAGACACACAGCCCACGGCCCACATGAGACTGACACTCACATCTCCTAACGTGTGCTTTTTCATGGGCGTAGACCCTGCTCTGTCCACCCAAACAGATTCATCAGGAGAACTGTAGGAAGTGATAGCTTGAAAGAACTTTGTAGATGGGTTCCCTGAACAAAATGATCTTCCCGCTTGAGTGTGCCGCTGCAGAAAGCAAGTGAAGCTCAAGCTGTCACTCTGGAGCCAGTTTTCCAGGTTACTATAAGCTGATCATTTCTCCATTCCTCTGGGTCTGCTAGAGAAGTCCTATTTCCTGAGAGCTTTCTGTGTCTACAAGGGGTTCTTTTAACATGTCACCTCCTTTAGTCCTTACTGAAATCTGTGAGATCAGCCTACTCACTTCCATCCTTGTTTAACCGTTGGGGAAACCCATGCTCAGAGAGGTTAAGTAACTTGCCCAAGGTCACACAGCTTGTCTGCAGTGAGGTTGGTTTTAAAACTGTATCTGCTGGATTTCCAAACCCACCTAGCACCCTGCTTAACTTGGTCCAACTCTGCTGTGGGGAGAGGAGAGTCTTGATCCAGTGGGCTCTCAGATTCCGGGTCGTATTGGGGCCTCTCTGTCCTCTCCCTAGATCCTTCTCCTCCCAGCATCTCTCCACGGCCTCCATCCTGGTTGTAGACTCTCCAGGCTTTCAGAACCCCCGGCACCAGGGCAAGGACCGGGCGGCCACCTTCGAGGAGCTGTGCCGTAATTACGTCCATGAGCGCCTCCAGCTGCTTTTCTATCAGCGCACGTTCGTCTCTGTGCTGGATCGATACCAAGAGGTACGTCTAGGCTGTAGTCGGACCTTCGCCGGGGCGTGGAGGCAGAAATGCTAAGCCCTCCCTCAGCAGCCCACAACTTTGCTGTGCCGTGCACCACAGAGCAGTCCTATTTCCTGTGTGGCTCTCCTGGCCTCTGTTGTTTCGCCTCTGTCCACGGCCCAGTTTCCACCCACTGCCCTCTGCCCCCCCAAGGCCAGGATCCCCAGGACTCCTAGACTTTCCCAACTCTTGTTCTCATGGCGGCCCCTTTTGGGATGACCTCCTTCTCATCTGCCACCATACCGAGGCCCAGATCCTCTCTGTGTGGGAGGCCCTCACTGTGCTGTGGTGGGGTGCAGACGGCAGCCTGTAGCCCCGTGTGCAGCACATGGTGACAATCTCTAGCAGTCACAGGCACATGCGCCCAATGACCAGCAGTCCCCTTCTTGGGACACACATGTGAGGCAGGACACATCTAGGTCTATGTACAAACATGCTTCTTTCAACCTTTCTCTCATTTAAAAATTTGTTCAAATATTTACACGTCCTAACCCAATTTGTGCTGCTTTGACCAAAAATACTTGAGATCAGCTGCTGTATGAAGAACAGAAATGTGTCTCCTCCCTTCTGGAGGCTCAGAAGTCCAAGGTTAAGGTGCCGGAAGGTGTTCTGTCTGATGAAGCCGTTCTCTGCCTCAAGGATGGCATCTCAGGGCTGCCTCCAGGGCAGTGTCTGTCCTGGGAGGTGGAGGGCAAGAAAGCCAAATGCTGAGTGCAGCCTGCTTTGTAAGGGCCGTAAGCCCTCGTGGCCCAATCACGTTGGGAAGGCCGCACCTCTTTACGTCACCACGTGCAGATTCCGCACCTGTACTTTGGAGTGGACACAGTCAAGCCACAGCAACACGGGAAGGTGTATAAACCCAAAGTGTGCGGCTTAGTGAATTTGTCCAAATGAACATCAGCCAGATGATAATGAGGACCTTGGTAGGACCCCAATTCCCCGAGCCACATCTCCTCCATTTTTTTAAGGTGATCACTTTGACTACAATAATTGTTAATGGAAAAATATTAGAAATGCCCATATTGTCATTCATGCGTAGCATAATGAATATTGAAATTACAGTAATTTCTCTGGTTGGACCCCATGTAGCAGTCAAAAAAATCATTGACACCGATAGACCTCTAGCAAATAATGTTAATGGCATCTGATCTTACCAGTTACTTACTGGCTTGTGTGGCCTGAGGAAAGTCACTCCCTCCTTCTGACCCTTCATTTCTTTACATGGAAAATAGAAATAATAATACGCCTGTATCACGTACCATTTTCCATAGTAAGGCTGCACAAGCTGTCCCCAAATATAGTGGCTTTAAGAAACTCTTTGGTTGTTGCTCACAAGTCTTTGGGAAGGCTGGGTCAGCTCTTGAGTCTGTAGCCAGGTGTAAGTTGGGAAGGTGACTCTGTTGACCCCTGCTGGGATGTTTACTGTATTTGGAGGTCCTCCGGCAGTGACTTTAGAGCCTATCCATGCTCCCTGATGCCTCAGTCTCCAGCAAGCCCAGGTGAGTTTCAGGTGCCAGACAGAGTTCCAGGACCATCAGCAGAAGCGTGCAGAGCACCTTGAGGCCTTGATCTGGAGCTGACATGGGTCACTTCTGTAGATCTTGACTGGTCAGGCTAAGTCCAAGGCTGAGCCCTGAGTCAAGGAGGAAGGAAACTGGCTCTACTTTCTTAATAGCAAAGCTGCAGTAGGATGCTCCTTGAGGCCATACTCTTAAGTGAAATTAATAGGACACACGTGTAAATACTGAATAGTTTCTCCGATGTGAGAAACTAAAAGTGTAAATAAGGATCATGATGTATAATTGATATTGTGTAATAAGAAAAAGGTCTAAAGGTGTAGGACAAGTAGGAGGGGTAAGGGAAAGGTAAGAAGGGAAAAGAAAAAAAAATAAGAGAAAAGGAAAAGAAAATGGAAACAAAGTCTTTGTAAATAGGGAAAGGTGGAAAGGGTGAAGGGAGGCCAGGGGAATGGGGAAAAAATAAGAACCAAGTTACATTATGTAAAGGTGCAAGATCCCGATGATGCACGTCACTGTATTGGACACCTAAAATACACTAATAAAGAAAAAGAAAAAGAAGAGTTTCAGTGTCAGTCTGTAAAGAGCATTGGTACAGGGATATAATGTAGAAAGCTAAGTTGTAAAAGTAACTTTACCACATTCCTTAAAGTAGCTGTTTTGAGCACTGGATGAAGCAGGATGGAGGGTGCCTAGGCAGTGATAGAATTCAATGTAAAGTAGCCTCTGTCAGTTTTTCTGTAATGTTTCACTTATTATCAAAATAAAGCAGGATTTTGAAAAGCTACAAAGTTGATATGAATAAAAAGAAACAGAAAGGAAAGTTTCCCTCAGGCCCATGACCCAGAGGCAACCGTTGTTACTTCTCTCTGTACTTGACACCAATCATTTTTCCAGGTACTGCCTTCTGTATGGATTTCCTATCCTCTGTACACATGATTTTGTTGTCTGCTATTTTTTTCATGGCCTTCAATTATATTTCCCTGCTCCATTTGTGAATTTATGAATTTAGTGAACATGCATTTCAGTGGTTCTATCTGATATCTGATTCTGTAGTGAGTCTTTTGCTGACCTCTGGCTGAATTCCAAGTTTAAGATGCAAACAACACTGTGAGGTACACAGCATTGTGGGATATTTCTTGTTACATTTGCCATCTTTTTTTTTGGTACCAGGGATCGAACTTGGAGCCTTGAGCTTACAAGGAAGGCAGTGGAACCGCTGAGGCTAAATCCCCGGCCCATTCTTGTTACATTTAATGGCAGCTATTACCCACCTTTCTGCTTGTTCCTTCCAACACTGGGCACTCAGCCTAGGATTTATTAGGTGCTCTGTAAAAAGTTGTAAAAGTTTGCAGCGAATTATCGGTTTCCTTTTAAATTAGCACGTATTAATTATATCGAACAAGGAGTTTCCTTGTGAATTTTCATACACATGTGGGACATACTTTGATCCTATCCTCCCTCCCGATGACCCTACCATTCCCTCCCCTCCGTTGAATTACTAGTTTCCGATGAAGCTCTTTCACGATTGCTGATGATCCCACATGATGAGCAATGCAGGATCGTACTGGAATGTTGATCTGCAGTGCTTCTTCTCACATGAAGGCTGAGAGGGAGTGAAAACAAAATCAGCTCAGAGTGACAAACGATGCACATAGAGATTTCCCCAAGGAAGACATGTAGTGGTCACTAAAGATGTGAAACGATGCTTGACGTCACCAGTCACGAGGGCAGTTCTTTTAAAAAGAGCCACAGGGAGATGCCACCTCATGCCCATCAGGATGGCCACTTCACAACAAAACACACGCGTGCGCACATACACACACGTGCTCCAAAAGCCTCGGCTGTTCAAGACATGGGATAGTGGGAAGCCCTACCCACGGCTGTTGAGAATGAAAACCAGCGCAGCCATTGCATGGAGCAGTAGGGGAGTTCCTCAGAGAGTTAAACACAGAGTTACCGATCTAGCAATCCGCTTCTGGGTATGTATCTAAAATAACTGTGAGGAGTGTCTCGAAGAGGTACCTGCACACCCCTGTTCGTAGCAGCACTACTGTCATTAGCTGAGAGGCGAGTGTAATCCACATCCGTCGGCAGATAACCACGTAAGGCAAATGCAGCACATACATTCGGTGGACTGTTGTTAAGTCTGCAGGAAGGCAGTTCTGACCCCCGCAGCATGGAAAAATCTTAGGAGATAGAAGCCAGTCACCACAGGGCAAATCCGGTACGTGTGAGATACTCAGAGCAGTCACATTCACAGAGACAGGAAGTACAAACGTTACCAGGATTGGGATGTTGTAGGGGAAGAATGAAGGAATTGTTCAATGGCCAGAGTTTTGATTTCACAAGAGGAAAAGTTCATTGCACGCTGTATGCACGTATTAAAATATCACGCTGCGCCTCATTCGTATACACAATTCATGCACTTTCAGTTTTAAAAATCTGTGGCGACGGATAGCGGGAAAGGTTGCATGCACTGTGAATGCACTCATCACCTGCAGCCCAAACATCTAGAAATGACTAAGGTGGCAAAATTAATGTCATACATACTTCACTACAAATTCAAAACGTAATTTTTAAAAGAAATGCCGAAAAGTTGCATTAGCTTTACCCTTGCTGGGGAAAAGAAGTACTTAACACCTGCAACTTAAAGGAGGAGAGGCTTATTTAATGGTTCACGCCTTCAGAGGTTTCATCCCGCAGTTGGTGGGCACCAGGGCAGAAACATCATGGCAGACAGGAAATGAAGAAGTGCGGAAGAAGCTAAGAGGAAGGAGCCAGAGCAGATGCAGTGCCCAGAATCCTGTCCTCGGGACCCACCCGGACATACTCAGAAGTGTTCTTCACTGATCTCCTAGACATCTCTCAGGCCAATAAAACTGACGATTGATGAAAGTCCTCATTTCCTTTTCTACCCCAGATGTTTTCCGCCTGACCCAGCTCACTGAAGGAGCTAACTTTTGCACTCTGTGATTTGTTTTAGGAAGGTATTCCTGTGCACTGGGACCTCCCAGAGTCCTCCCCGGGGACTACAGTGGCTGTTGTGGATCAGAATCCCTCCCAGGTAACAAGGGACTCGGGGCCAATTTTCCCAGATGTGACATTTTCAATAAAATATTGGAAGATATGAGTCTTTAAACTACCAAATTCTTCATACTGTCTGTACCTGGACACCACCCCCATGGTTTGTTAGAGATGCACATTTGGACCCCCTTTCCCCTCCCTGGGTCCTGCATTGATTGATCTGGAGTAGAAATGAACTTGGGGTGAGAATCACGACTCAGCTTTATCTCTGAGTCCCAGTCTTAGAAAGCACTCATTGGGGGCCCGGGGTCTGAGCTGAAGTACCTCAGGATCCTCCAGATGTTCTGTCGTGGGAAGATGCTGGCTTGGCAAAGACAGGGAGCCCTGGGCAGTGGTGGGGAGGGATGGCCCTTGGGGACAGATGCCATTGTGTTTTTGTTTGTTTGTTTGTTTTGTGGAATGCCAAAGTCTTTACCTCACTCTTCTCATTCCTAGAATGACCTTGGCTTAACCTCCTCTTAGACCCTTTCCCTTGACTTTTATTATTTTATTATTTGTAATTTATCATTTTTCACACTTTGGTGAGAAAATGCTTGGGCTCTGGAACCTGCCAGGTGTGGGTCCACTCTTGGGGACCTCAGGCACTTTCCTTTACCTCTCGAGCCTCCATTGGTCTCATCTCTAAGATGGGAGTGATGCTTGTCCCCGGGTGATGCCTGTCAGTGAGATGCTGTCCGCGCAACCCCTGGCACGGGTTGTGGCACACAGCCATGTCCCACAATTGGCCCTTCCCCTGCCACTGGACACCACAGGTCGCCCTTCTCATCCCTTGTCTCCCACTAACCGGAGTTGATCTCCAGGCCTCCTGCTGGCACACCATGAGCTGTATCTGTCCTTGTAAAGCCCTTTCCTTCACAAGCCCGGGTGTCTGCCATGCTGTGCCTCTTGCTGGGAGCTCTCTGGCTCATCCCCTCCATGGATGGTGAACCTATGCCCGGCCCAAAGAAACCACTCAGCACTGCTAGTTGGGAAGGGTTGTGTAGTCCCCAAGGCCACTGGGCTGTGCTTTCTAGTGGCTGGTTTGTCCAGCTGTCCATCTCAGCCCTAACATAGAAGGCCAAGGTTCAGGCCTAGGACGCCTGGAATCCAGTTGCAGTTCTGCATCGGGAATCACTGTGTAACCCTGGATGTGTCCCTTGCCTTGTATGGAGCTCTGATGGGGTGCGGGGGACACAACATTCCCAGCTACTGCCCTGGTGTGAACAGGACTGTCCCCGTCTTAGCTCAGAAAGCTGCATATATTGGCCCCCGTGGGTCCTGGGCACACTGGAGTGGTGGTCACTGTCCACATCCCATTTCCTCCATCACCACTCAGTGCTCTTTGTGGTCGAGCCACTTCTTTGTGGGCCTTCACATAAGCCCTTGAAACTCCCCAGGCCTCTCTCAGTTTCCCATAAGCAAAATTATAGAGTTGCTTGGGTGGATGCTGAAGATAGTGCCTAGATTTAAAATTCCACGTCTGTGCTATTGAATCAAGTTCACTTTCTCTTCCAAAATGTTCTTTGAGTGCTGATTTTATTTTTAAATTCATTCTCCAAGATTTTAGTTTGGAAAAATACAGAGAGTTCTAAGAGGAAGGGACAAGGAGGGAATCAATCTTTTCATGTTTTGAAATACACAAATAGACCAGCTATCTGTGTGTATCTAGACAGATGCAATTTACAGAAGGCTTTTCCTCACTAAATCCTTACTGTGGCCCTCTGAGGAAGGTATTTCTGCTCTCCATTTTGCATAGGCAGAAATGGGGCTCAGAGAGGTCAAGTAAGTTGCCCAAGGCCACACAGGAATTAAAGACAGAGGCAGGATTCAGATCCCTTGCAGCAGAGAGGAGGTCGTTACAGTTTTGTGGCTTCAACCCTGAGTGCGTGGGGGTGAGTGGGAGCGTAAGTCTAGGCTAACTGTGGTAGCTCCTTTCCTGCCTCATTTCTGGCTGGTGGGAAGAAAGCCCACAGCTGGCCTCTGTTGGGATCAGGGCTCCTCAGTGTCTCCTGGGTCTCCCACCAGGTCCACTTACCCACTGGAGGAGATACTGAGGACGCCAGGGGCCTTTTCTGGGTCTTGGATGAGGAGGTCCGGGTGGAGGGCTCCCATGACAGCACGGTGCTCGAGCGTCTGCGTGCAGCCTTTGAGAAGAACGGAGCTGGGGCCAAAGGTAAGGGGACAAGACGGAGGGGGAGGTGGCTGGGTCCAGCCTAGTGTTGGAATCTGTCCATGTCAGGTAGGAGAGGCCTAACAAGGCCCGCACAGAGACTGGGAGTACAGAAACGTCTGTGTGTGTACCTGTGTACCCTTTCACTCATTTGTGTGTTCATCCATTCATGTATGTAACAAACACCTTTGCAGCTACTGTGAGCTGGGTCCTGTTCTATAAAGCAGTGATCTGGCCCGACAGGGCGCCTATCCTTGCGGGGCACAGACAAAGGGCAGTCTCTTGGGCAAGCACTTACTAGGGCTGGGAGGCAGAGCTTGGAATCTGAATCTGTGCATCAGGCAGATCTGATTTCTCTGGTAGCGGAGAGGACACCCCTGCACACACATCTAATGGTGTGCAGGAAGCACAGCGCAAGACAGGATGGTGGTGTTACCTGGGATGTGATGGCGGGAGCCCTCGCGGGACGTGCACACTCTTAACCCTGGAGCAGTGACAGTGACCGTCTCAGAGCTTTCAACGATACCAACATCTCACTGTGGCACCCGTGCCATAGGTTCATCCCCGCTGCCCTGGGGCAGTGAGAAGCCAGAAAGGCTTTAGGCCGTGGGAGGTACAGTCAGATTCATGTTCTGGAAGGTTGACCCAGGCTGCAGCGTGAAGGCACGGCGGGAAGGTGGCTGATCAGGTGCAGGAGAAGCTGGCTTGCCCCAGGGAAGTGTGCAGAGTCTGCAGGTGTTTGGCAGGTAAAGTCCACGCATGGCGTTTGGTGATGGGTAGGGAAAACAAAGGGAGATTGAGACATCCAGCTGGGACAGTGAGGTCATGGGATTTGATATCCGTCAGCCCAGGTTCAAGTCCCCGTTTCCTACTTTCTCCTGTGTGATGCTGAGCAACTCCTGTAGTCTTAGCTGATAGGAAGGGAGTCGGCCTAGCTCCTCTTTCTCTAGAATTCCTGCTGCAGTGATCGGGTGAGTCATGTGTATGTAGAGCTCTGTCATTGGCTACATGTTGTTGCAAGGTTATAGGAGAGGACAGGGTGTTGATGGTGACAAGGAGTATTCCTCTGTCATGTGAGGGGTTAAAGGAATACTGCGTACACTCCAGGCAGGGTGGCATACTCAGAGCTGCAGCTGTATGGTCTAGTAGGATTCTTTTGCAGGTCTGGAGGTAGACAGTCTTATTGCCAAGTGGAGGAAACAGATCTCCAGAGAAGTGGAGATGCTTGTCCAAGGTCAAGCCAGAGGAGGCGTGTCGGAAGGCAGATTCCAGACCAGGCTTGTCCGGATTAACTTGTGATCCCCACACCACCAGGCATTCTGGAAAGCAAATGTGCTTTCAGACCTTATCAGTCCCAACTGGCTTCGGGGACCAGGACAAATGTGGGCTCATTCATTCATGGGCTTATTCAGCTAATATGCATGGGGCACCTATTGTGAGCAGCTGCTGTCCTTGCCTGGGAGATACATCAGTGATCACAACAGTGATCTAGGCAGGTCAATCTGTATGAAGGAGACAGAGGACCATAATTTTGGTTTAGGCCACTGAGGGACAGCAGAAAAGATGACTAAGACTCAGTCCTGGGACATTTTAGTGTCAGGGAGTCAGGGACAAGGCCACCAGCCAAGACAGGAGCTTGAGGAAGAAGGGCACGGCAGGCAGGATGGAGGCCGGTGGGTGTACCGTATTCACCACGTTCTAGCATGAGGGGCTTCCTTACCTGCTTCCAGTCCCGGGGCCTCCCTGACGACCTCGGGCACAACCTTAGCCTCCTCTCATCTGCACTGTCGTCTCCCTCCCCTGCTTTCCTCTTCTCCGCTGAAGTGGCTACCATTAGACATCCACACCTGCTCGCCAGCCGTCTTCCCTCGGGAATGCCAGCTCCATAAGGATATGTTAGATGGAGATGGTTACCTCTGCTGAGCAGCACCTGGAACACCCCGAGCCTGAGAAAGTGCCCAAGGAGTACTTGATCTAGAAGAGATAAACGTGAAAACTCAGTGACCCAGGATCAAATGAAATGGAATTCCCAAATGGAATACTGTCTAGATTCTAACTTTTATGCAAGAGACAGAAAGCAGGTTGGCAACAGAAGGCGTCTTGTAGGGTGTGGCTGGGACAGAAAGGGATTCAGCTACGTTTGTGGCCCCTGTCCCTTTTCCATGAAGCACCCAAGAAGGATGTTATAAGGTTCTATGTTTCCGGAGAGATTCTGCTACATCCCTTGTCTCAAACTAACACAGACATATTAACTCAGATATTTTGCTAAAAAAAGTTATTTCCCTCCAAAGCTTTCTGAGAGGCTCTGAGTTAATGAGAACATTCATTCAGCCAGAAAACATAGGGCATTCTGGCTAATCAGGGCTTGCTCTTTATGACACCTTGGCTTCATCTAGTGTACATTTTGCTGTGTCCCCACATTGGCAAGTGAGTTCGTTAGGGGGCTGGGAGCACGGTGGGCCTAGAGGAAGTGGATGATTAGCACTCAGAACTGTAGGGGTGACCTACAGCAGCCGTGAGAGACTCGGCTGAGGGGTTCAGGCTCCTGTGTGAGGCAGCGAAGCCAGAAGCCACGCTGGATAACTAGTTGTCCATCTCCCAGAAGTTTTCATGGTTCTCCTGAAAACCTAAGGATTCCCGCAAAATGTTGTTGTGATGGATAAAATTATGGTGTGAAAACCAATCCCAGAAGAAAGAAATGAATGACAGAAATGAGCAGCCCTGGATCCTACAAGCTGATTTCTAGCACAGTTTTCAAGAATCGTAGCATCTCTGCACAGAGGCAGGCTTTGATGCTAGCTGCCTTGTGCATCTGCATGCCAGCCCCACTTTGGGGAGCTCTGCATCTTTAGCAGAGTCGCCTCATCTTTCTCAGGTTCAGTGTCATCTAGAAACCACACCGGGGTTGCTCACATCACTGGGCAGAGTGAAGGCAAAGTGATATTCTCTGGGTCAGCCTTCCAGCAGAGTGGGCAGTCTGCCTGGAGCTTAGCAAACGTTAACATCTACTTTCTGTATTCACCATTTCCACAGGAAGATCCTTGTTAGAGCCCATCTCTGTGCTAGTCAAGAAGCCTTATGGCTGATGAGCCCCACTTCCAGACCTCTGGAGGGGGAGAAGCCACCTAAACAGATACCTGTGTAGGCACAGTACAGCCATAGGTGCTAGGGCCTGGTGTGCACCTCACAACTGTGGGATGCTGTTCTCTCCTGTGGGAAGGTGATTCCCATGAAGCCGGGACAACAGCACTGAAGGGCTCACAGCGGCACTTCACTTAACTAGAGATGTCCCTTGATGGCCACTTCAATTATCCAGAACTTAGAGGTGATCCAGGTGGTGGGCACGAGAGACGCTCTTTCCTCATGGAAGCCTGCATGTTCTCTGCAAGGAGTTCAAGAAACACAGGTCTCTGATCTCTGAGATGGTTACAGTTCCGAAATAGCAGATTAGGTCTTGAGAGAAAGACTGAAGCCCATGGTGCATATGAAATATTGGCAAGAGCAGGGAAGAAAACTGAGGAAGGTCTTGCAGAAGTGATGTAGGAACCACCCTTACTAATCATAACCATCAGCCTGGGGAAGGGGCAACTCTTCCAAACATGGAGACGCAGCCTGAGAGCATCACGATGCTTAGAGTAACATAACTCATAGCCAGCAGTTTGTTTACTTATTAATTCATCCCACAAGCATTTCTGGACTCCACATGTGCCAAACATAGTGCTGGGCACTGGGGGTGTGAAGGTAAGCACTGATCTTCGGGAGGATCAGTGTGAGGCTGCATGCAGTCAGTTGTAGTGACAGCCACTATTGCTAACTGAGTGACTACTATGTGCCAGGCAACATACTAAACTATTTTACACACATCATCCTAAAGGAGTCTTATGCTACCATGGGAAATTTATGTCATTTAATCTCCATTTTACAAAGGAGGAAGCTGAGGTTCAGCAACTTAAATAGCTTGGCCCCTCGTACCCCGTAACAAATGGCAGGGAGCTAGGTTTTCTCTACATTTAAGGCCAGGCCCATTTGCTCCGCTTACCTTGTTCTTGCCATCAAATGTGGCCGGCATCTTCTGAGAGTATGCTGTACTTTGATTTGGTTGGTAATAGTCAAGACAGTTTTAGGTGGCACATGAATGAACACAGCAAAACTATTCAACAGCTATTTATTTCTATACATATTAGAAAATAAATTTAGCTTGTATATCAAACCTGCAATCATATGCTGCTTTTTAAGTGAATGTATTTGCGAAAATATTGATTTAAAGGAAACATTAAGTAAATCACAGCCTAGGTGGTACAGAGATACACATAGCAAAATTTGCGAAGATTGTGTGTACTGACAATGCTTGGGTCAAATAGGAATCCTGAAAGCCAAGAAGAATAGAACCCACTTTGGAAATAATGTGTTCAATACACAAGAGAAATGTAGGCATCTTGAACTGGTAGCTGTAGCTACCTGGAAAGACATTAAAGTGGAAACTGTTCTTGGGGACACCAGCTGATTGCAGAATGTTCCGAGCATTCATGCCGTTGTGTCTGCTTTCAGGGACCTCTGCCCTGCGGACCTGTGAGCAGCCCCTCCAGTGTGAGATTTTCCACCAGCTTGGACAGGACCCCGTGCGCTATGACCTCACGGGCTGGCTGCACAGAGCCAAGCCCAATCTTTCAGCCCTGGGTGCCCCCCAGATCCTGCAGCAGTCAAAGAGGTGAGCCAGGCCAGAACTGGGGGTGGATGGGGCTATTTGGGGTGCTGCAGTTGCATTCCTGTGGGGATCTGTAAGCCCAAACAACCGGTGCATGGAGGTTGGTCAGGGACCCCATCCCCATATAGTGGACTAAAGACCTGTGACTTGAATTAGAGTGGTATAGGTATCTCCCCAGGGCCAGAGCAAATCCAGCCAAGGAGAAAAGCTGGCCATCTGGGGAGATGGCACAAAAGCTAAAAAAAGCTGTGACTTCTTATTTTGGCTTTTTGCCTTTTATTAAGTATCTGAGAGATGTGACTGGAACAACTTTTATGGACCTCCTAGAACTCAGGGGGTTGTAAAATCGAAATGACACATTTTGTAGCATTATAAAAAGCTCACCACATTCCCTGGCTGCTGGTCCCAGAAGGGCAGGCAGTGATCGTGCTATCACTTCGGAGTTCATGGAAAATGCTTGTTGTGTGTGTGTGTGTAAGCCTGGTGCACCTCCGAAGTTCAACGCTGGAAACCTGCAGGACTGGAGCTTGGGGAGAGAAGAGGAGGTGGTGGTGTCCTGCATGGGCAGAAGGGTACAAGAGTGTGGAAGGAGCGTTTACTTACTGCCCCATGGGCCTTGAATCAGCATCAGTGACTTTTAAATACCTTATAATATAAATACCTTATAAACACTTTACCTTAGCCCCATTTTAGAGATGTGAAATGGAGGCCCCACGGAGGCTTGCCTTTAGTCACACAGCAAGTGTGGTACACCCGGGAGACAGCTCGAGTCTATGTGATCCTTGGGAAAGTTCTCAGGATGCTATGGATACAGTTAACTGGAAGCCACAAATCCAGGAGAGCCTGTGAACACACCCACTGCAGAGAGATCAAGGCAGGGATGGGTAAAAGGAAGGTTAGCAAGCTCACAAAGGATACAAGGCAGCCAGGGCCCCTGAGTGACTGCAGGTGGCCTCTTTCCTCTCAATTGTTTTTGCTTCATCCTGCATAAAAGAGTCAGATAGATGGAGCAGACAAAAGATTCAGTCACTATAGCATGACTTTGGAGTCAGGCACATGTTCAAATTCTGCTTCTGTCTCTTTCCAGCTACATGACCCGGACCTCAGTTTTATCAGCTATAAAATGGGCACGATGATCCCAAGCTTGGATGTTTAATGTGAGGCTTGGGTAGTGTAAGGTAGCAGACATTTTATTAAGGAGCCTGGTTCATGCAAAGCTCTCATCTTTTAGCCTTGTAAATTTCCTTCCTACTTTAAAACCCTTTGGCTCACCCCGAGAGAGGGACACTGCGTTGGGAAAGGGGAGGGTGAAACCTTATGGACCGGGGCCCGTTCCCATGTGCGAAGTCTTAGCTCCATGGGAGTGGGCAGAAGGACACAGTGCATTTGGGACCACGTGTGATCCGTCTGTGGAGCCAAATCTTGGTAATTTTAGAGAGTAAACCGTACTTTTTAGGAGAATGTGGCACTGAAGCCAATGGCCCCAGATCCCTGGGAACAGTGTGCTCAGCATTCTGACTCCCGGGCCACACCCATGAGCTGCTAGGGTGGACCCCAGGGACTTGCATGGCTGGAGAGCTTTCCATAAATAAAGTTTTAAAAGTACGCTCACGTTTCAAATCACTGTTTCTGTCCAAGAGTCATTTATTTTATTCTTGAGGAGCTGAGGTCCCTAGGAATGTACAGGTGACTTGGCTAGAGTCACATGGTACATTGAAAACAGAGGTTTCAATTCTCCCAGGCAGATACAGCGATGCACACAGAGAGGTCCGGGCTACCGGTGTGAATGAGTCTCTCCTTGGGTCGATGGAGGGGGCCTCACCCCCAGGTGGCCTCCGCTTCTCCACAGGGAGGGGCCCTTGCGTCCTGTGTACTCCCTCATCATCCTGCCCGTACTGTCCATTTAGCGTCCACGTGGCCAAGCCTTTGTTCATGGTTGAGCATGTACCACACGTGTACCCCATTTGGGGCTGCTTAGGCAGTGCTTATTTCCGGGGTAGTTTGGATAGTCAGGTCAGGCACTGGGGAACGTGGATAAAGTATTTTCAGGACTCAGGGTGGGGGTGGGACATGGACTTCTGAAAGATGCCTGAGTGCTTCCAAGGGAGGTGAGGAGTGGGCCACAGGTCCTTCTCTGGGTCTCAGTCTGCCCTAGGGAGGAAAGGGTCCTCTAGCTTGCGTTGTCCTTTTTTTTTTTTTTTTCCCAAACACAAAGGGGTAGTTTGGATAGTCAGGTCAGGCACTGGGGAACGTGGATAAAGTATTTTCAGGACTCAGGGTGGGGGTGGGACATGGACTTCTGAAAGATGCCTGAGTGCTTCCAAGGGAGGTGAGGAGTGGGCCACAGGTCCTTCTCTGGGTCTCAGTCTGCCCTAGGGAGGAAAGGGTCCTCTAGCTTGCGTTGTCCTTTTTTTTTTTTTTGCCCAAACAAAAGGCCAGACTGTCCTGGGTCGATCAGGGCAGACCTTTATTTAGGAACTGGCTGCCCTTGCTGTGTCAGAGCCAGTCCATTGCAGGAATGCTAAAGGAAGGCCTTAGCTGTCACCTTGGCGTGAGGCTGGGCATTTCATTGGTATTAATCCTGCAGCACATTCATTCATGCATGAAACGCACAGTAAGGGCCTACTGTGCACTAGACCAGTTCTAAGGACCACAAAGTTGGCAGTGCCCTCTAAGGTGGCACTGACCAGTTCAGTAGGATTGCTGCAGAAAGGAAAAAGCTTGTGGTCAGGGAGGACAGAGTGCTTGTTGGTGGAATGGAGGAGTTGAGGGAGGCGCTGGCACTTGTCATTAAGAGAACTCTCCCTTGGCGGAAGGAACCGTGAACAAATGGGTAAGAACAGGAAGCAAAGGGGTGTAATTCTTTCACTCACCACACAGGGCAAGGGCTCCCCAAGAGTCCTCCAGCCCTCTCTCTTTTCCCTCCTATTCCAGGGAGGAGCTGCGAAGTCTCTTCCAGGGCTGTGCCAGGCTGCTACCCGTGTGCCAGGCTGTGGCAGGTCTGGAGGGCACCTCCCAGCAGGCCCTGCACAGGAACCGTGTGGTGAGGAAGGCGTTCGCCAGCAGCCTTGCCTCGGCCAGGAGAAGAACTCCGTGCTCCCAGGTCAAGCTGCAGATGGTGAGTGTGGCTCGGCCTGGGGAGTATGCCATTCCAGGCCACGGGTCCTCGTGTCCTCTGGGGAGGGGCAACTACCCCAGGCACCTCTTGCCTCCCAAGCAACCCTGGGGAAGACACATCTGATACTTGTCTGAGGAGAAAATGGAGGCTCCAGGGCACAAATAAGCTTGACTGTGGCCATGGCCTGGGGCCTGGGGCCAAAGCTTTAATGGCTTGGCATGGCATTGAGGGGTGTGGGACGTGCCCAGGAGTCACACATGCCCTTGGCTAGGGTGACAAATACCAGACTATCTGCATTGCTGTCTCTCTTTGGGGATAGGCAGCAGGACCCAGGACTGGATGTAAATTTGTTAACGTAGATCCAAAACATTATCAGATGAGAACGTTCAGTTGGTCAATAGGCAGGCTGAACCCAAGTGAGAACAGGCTGTGACACGGGAAGAATATATTTTGGAAAAGGTTCTCAAGCATAGTACAATGGGAAAGCCCTCAGACTAAGTCCTTTTCAGCCCCAGGTCTTCTGTGGTGGTCTGTGTGTCCTGGGCCCACCTGCTGGCCTCTCTGTACCTCACTCTCCCTGTCTCTCCTAGGGGTGTTATAAAGTCCCTTATTTCTCATGAGTACACATCAGGATGGAGGTGAGATGAGCTTGGAGTAGAACACGGGGCTCCAGAGGTGCCCAGGCCAGGCTGAATGTGTGTGGGGCGAGTGTCAGGGACCCCATTTCCCTTTGACAGCAAACCCTAATCTCTCTGCTTGGCCCTAGGATGCACTGATCAGCTTGGTGAGACGGTCTCAAATGCACTTTATCCACTGTCTGGTGCCAACCCCAGCACTGGACGACAAGGGTGGGCAGTGGTCTTCACCACCACCATTGCCTGGAGACCGGCCTGAGGCGAGCAAGCCCCTGGCCCCAGACATCCCAGCACTGAGGGTCCAGCTTGCGGGCTCTCACATCCTGGAGGCACTGCGTCTGCAGAGGATGGGTAAGAGACACCTGGGGACCTGATCTCCAAACCTGGGACCTGCTTGTTTACCAGTGGCAGCCAAGGGACCTGAGGACTTACTGTGTACGAGGAGCTGTTTCCACCCCTATGAGGGAGAGACTGCATTCAGCCCAAGGTTGCACTGCTGGGACCAGGCAGTCTGGATTTGGACCGACCCATGAGGTTTCTGGAGTTCCTTGCATGCTCCTCAAAGGCTAGGACTGTGCCTTCCTCATCTGTCTTGGGTAGAGAGCAGACTTAACATAGAGAATAATACTTCGATTAATTTGATGTTCAAGAGGCTTGATTAAGTTTGAGAGATCACCATGATCACAGGAAACAGTAATATGTGGAAGGCATATATGTGTCACTCAGGGATGCAGCAAGTACACAGATGCCTAGAGGAGGGAGCTTTATTTATGTTCCTGGGAGATTGGGGAATCCTCCTAGCAGTTACAAAACCCTAAACAGGTCTTCCGGCAGAGGAAGCAGCTCCCGCTAGGTGGTGGGGGGCAAGGGAACATTAGGCAGAAGAATCAGCAGGGGCTTCGGCCAGGAGGTGTAAAAGAACCTGGGTTTTCAGTAGTGGTGTTCAAAATGTGTGCAGAATCATGGGAGAGGGGGCTGGCGCCTCCATCAGAGAGGACTGAGGGTGCTTTTGCTGGGCACTTAGCTTGCACTGGGTCAGCTGGAGAGATGATGGGGGTTGGGGGTCTAGGGGTTTTAACCCAAGGAGGGAGGCGAAGCGAACGCATGCCTTCAGTACCCACCTCTACCTCACCGTGGGAGCTGCGCCTGATCTTAAACCTTCCCATTCTTCTCTGCCTCTCAGCCCCCAGAGGCTGCCACATGATTCCCCCTCCCCAGCTGGTAGAAATGGTCTCCCAGAGGATGGTGTGGCTGGTGCTGTTTGTGCAATGTCTCTGTCGTCACTAACAGCCCCGCTTGTGGTCGCTGCACCATCTCCCCCACCACGTTCACAGTGGAACCCTGGCACGAAGTGTTTGACAGAGAAGCCGGGAGGAGCTGGAAGCAAGGCTGAGACTCGAACTCCCCTGGGCACATCGTGTGCAGCCACAGGCAGAGGGAGACAGACAATGCCACAGGGGAGGAGTGAGGTGGTCCCAGCCGGCAGCTCAGCCCCTGCAGTGGATCGATTCCACCTGGATGGCAGGCGGGAAACACTGGGCCTTTGCGGGTTCCCTGGTGTGCTGTCCGTTAGCACCCAGTGTACACGCTTGGGTGTCTCTCCCCTCCTCGCTGCAGGGGCTGCCTCCTCTGTAAACACAGCCCAACCCAGCCAGTGTGAGCTTTCCAGCTGAGTAAGGGGTTGGTGTCTTACGGAAGAACTTTCCAATTTCTGCCTCCCAGACCTGGTTTGTTTCCTCTTTTTTTCCTCCCTCCTCTAAGTCATTTCTGTGTTTCACACCCACATAAGATATATTTACATACATACATAGATACAAGCATTAATTATTTATGAATTTGAATCCGTGCCCGTGTTACAGATACATCTATATGTGCGTGCATAACGCATACAGACAGATGCTATTTTCTAAATGCCTACTGTGTGCTGGGGACATGTTAATACAAGCACTCACTAAAGTCATTCTCACAAAACTCTGAGGACAGTGCCCGGCACAGTCAGTCTTCCGGGTCTGTGGGTTCCACGCCTGTGCATTCAGCCAGCCTGGGATCAGAGTTCTGAAGAAGATCGCGTCTGTGGGGAACATGCACAGACCTTTTCCTTGTCATTCACTGTTACCTACGTAGTATAGTACAACAATTACTTATACAGCATTCACATCGTATTAGCTATTGCAAGGTATCCAGGGATGGTTTAGAGTACGTGGGAGGATGTGCAGATACTGAGGGATGACTGTTCGGTAAAGGCTCATTAAACATTACCTGTCCTGCAGCCTGCAGGGCACAGTCCAGACTGCCACTGCCCGTGTGACCCCAGGCAAGTCCCTAGAGCATGCTCCCTTTCCTCTCCAGTAGTCGCCAGTGCTGCGTGGGCTAATAAAGGAGGAAAGCTTGGGAGAGCAGCTGGAAAGCACACGGTACACCTTAGCCACTTTCACTCACACGGTCGTCAGATTTCACCCTGACAGTGACCATGGATGTGAGGATACATCTTTCTACCCTCATGTTTTAGGTAAATAGATTGAATTGCCCAGAGGTGGCATCCTCTGTCCCTAGTTACAGGGATAATAAGGGCAGAGATGGAATGTGAACCCAGAATAGTCTGACCTAAGAAAGCAAAGCAGGCTTGTAACCTCCTGGGTCCCTGTCTTTGCGCTGTCCACATTTTCCAGAGCTTGCCTGAAAGCCTCTTCCTGACCCAGGATTACTTCTTAGATTGTCTGGCCGTGCCCCTTGTTGCCTTTCCTCCTGATTTATGTGCTCGACTTATGGTGGAGTCTCAAAATCAGTGCAAGATCCCACCAAATCTCCTCCAGTTCAGCCACTTGCAGGATCTTTCTGCAGCAATGGAGGCTCTGCCATGTCCCTTACACTTAGAAAGAAGTTCAAACTCCATACTTAGAATCAAAGTTCATGTGTCTTTTCAGCCCAGTCTCTTCTCATCTTTGGCTGTTCTCCATTAGATTATTTTTTATTTTTATTTTTATATGTTTGGTACCAGGGATTGAACTCGGGTCCTTGTACTTGTGAGGCAGGTGGCAGAACCACTGAGCTAAATCCCTGGCCCTCCATTATTTTTCATTGCCTGAGTTTGAATCTAGCTAGGACAGTTACCATCTATGTGACAGGTGCACTTAACTCTCTGAGCCTCACTTTTCATATTCATAAAATGAGGATAATGATAAAGGTCCAAGAGTATCCAAAACAGGAGGAGGTTACACCCTAGTGTCTTGCATGTAAGTGCTCAGTGTGTTTCCTCACTCTCAGTCTGGTCTTCATAGTTGCCTCTGTGTAGATTTTCCTTCCATGCCAAGTCCTTCTGGAAGACTCTTCTGGCTCCTTCAAAGCCTGGCTCTTCTAGCTCTTCAAGTCCCCCTTCTCTGTAGTTTCCCACACCTCAGAATGCAGCTGTGTCCACCCATGAAATAGACTTAAAAAGCCCTCAATACCACCCCGCGCGGCATCCCTCTAGGGCATTCCGTAGAGTAAAAAATGTACTGTGCACAAAACTTGCCATGGGTGAGCAGGTTTGGGGAAATCAAGACTAATCTCAGAGCTTTTGACTTGGATATTGACACGTTCTGTGACCTTCTGAGAGGCAGAGGAGAGTCCAGCCTTTTCAGAATGTCAATGGCGCATTAATAGGTTTTGTATTTTGAGGATCATGTTTGATCCCGGAGTTACAGCAACATCCAGCGTTTTCTGAGCACTTCTGTGCAAGGCACTGGGGTGCAACGTCCTCATGTGTTTGACACTATTGGACCTTTATTATTATCAGTCTGTTGAAATTAGCTGAGGTGTCGGCATGGGCACAAGTTAGTAGTCAATGAGGGAGCAGACGTCGCCCTCCTCCCTGGGGTCCAGAGCACAGGGGTGGCTCTTCCCATTTGGCCTCTGTGACTTCTTCTGCCTGCTTCCCCTCCCTAGGCTACGCTGACCACATGGGGCTCACTCAGTTCCGTCGGCGTTTCCAGGTGCTGGACCCTACGCTGATGAAGAAACTCACGTCAGCCCCTGAGGGAGTCGATGAGAGGAAGGTATGTGAAGCTGGTGCGAGGGGTGTGGGCCCTGTGGATGCTTCCGCTGAGCTCCTGTGGCACTGGGGCTGCTCTGAGGGAGGTCCGGGCCAGGCGGGGCCTGGGAGTGAGGCCATGGGGCAGTACTAAGGATGGCACGAGGTTTGGCGTGGACCCCTGCTTCAGACTGCACCCTGCCCACCATGTCCTTGGAGGCCGTCCGCCCACCTACTGCGATGGCCCTCTGCAAGCCCTGTGTGAGGAGGCACAAGAGGAGAAGGAGAACAGAGTGATGAGAGCAGGAGGTCCCAGCTAGAAGGGACTGCAGCAAGGTGAAAAGCCACCATCTTCCGTGGCGTCCTGCTGACCACCAGCATGCTGGGTGTTCCACATGAAGAGGGCTTCAGAGTCCAAAGTACATGGGGGATAATTTTATACCAGGGCTCTCCACGGAGGGATTGTAAGGAGTGTTTTCTTCAGAGCCTCTGCACCAGCTCTTCCCCTTACCTGCAATGCTCTCTCCTCCAGTCTTGCACAGCTGGTGATGTCCAGCTATCAAATTCTGGCTCTGGCTCTGTTCTGTGGGATCCTCTTTGTTTTAATGTGTGTGTAGCCACTATCCTTATTGGAAATTATGTATATGCCCTATATGTTTTCTGGCTTCTAGAAGTTCGAATCATTGTCCTAGCTAAAAGGCACCACAGCATGACCAAATTCAATTATTTTTTATTGTATGGATACACAGTACTTACCTGTGTATTTTGCTCCCGTGCGTCTCCTTTCTCCAACTGTGCTATACATCCATGAACTCTTGTCTTTATTCCTGGTGCCAAAGTCTTCACACTAAGTGTTTCTATTGAGAATGGCCACAGGCTTATCAATAATTACAGAGCTTGTTAGAATTCACAAAGCCCAATTGCCCAGTTGCACTGCAGCAGCACTGCAAAACAAGAGCTATTATGTGCTTGCTTTTTGCAAATAACAAACTAAAAGCTCTTAGAAATGAAGCCACCCTCCTGAGGCCACAGAACTGAGCATTCCTGGGTTTGTTCCTTGAACTTCACTGCCTGGATTTCAGGCGTTGGTAGTTGAAAAAATAGGTCTCAAGTCAGTTCGAAATGAATTTGACTTCCAACTTGGGCAATGTGAGCGTTAAGCAAGTTACTTCTGTTTTCTGTCTCAGGTTCCCCATCTTTATAGTGGAACCATCACTGATACCTACTTTTACAAGGTGTTCTCAGGATGCAATTTTTCAGCACAGTTGATGTGCTGTACACGGGCTTGGCCTATAGTACAGGCTCAATAGATATTAACTACTACACCAACATCATAGGCATCTTTGAAGACCAGGGTGACAGCCACTGACCCATGCGGATTCTGTACTGTGTTGAAACCTCACCTTTGCAGGAGTGTGTCTGTGTGTGCCTGAGACCATCAGCACTATAGTCCTCAGCCAGTGAATTATAAGGCTAGAGGAGGAACCGGAGTCACAGTTCTCTGGCTCCTTGGCTCTTCTATGTACCAGGGCACAGGATGCCTCCTGCAGACAGGGCAGTACCAGCTCACCCTGAGAGGGGTCATAGTGCAGGGTCATCTGCAGTACAGGGCCATCCTCTCTCAGTGTGGTAGCTTAGTTTAGAAGTCATGAAATTCTGCTTGGCTTGCTGCCATCAACCACTCTGCCAATGACTCCTAGGGGTTCTTTATCTTTGGTTCCACCTAACTTGATCTTGCAGAGATTGTGAAATGAAGCCATTGAAAAGGTCTTGGGTTCCTCTGCAGTTGAAAATAGGGCTGGAGTTGGGTGTGGGGGTGTTTTCTGCGGGGGCATTGGGTGTAGCATATGGCAGTGTTTCTATTCTGGATGAGTCAGCAGGTTTGTGTCCTAGCCAAGCTGAAACCTTCTCAGTATACACTGGAGGCCTTGGGAAAATGGAAAATTACAAGTGGAATGGACTTGGTCGGCGGTTTTTGTTTCTTCATATTCTTTTTATATTTGCTCACAAATTTCATTTGCCACAGCATAGAAATTTAGTACCGAAGAAAGGAAACACCATTCTGCTTCTTATGAAAAAGCTGATAAATATTCATTGACTAGGCAATGCGATGTGCCATGAATTATACATGAGCACGTGCTCGGGTGGGCAAACCAGCGGCCTCTGTGTGCAGAGCAGTTAAGACCTCAGGATTTAATGCGACAAGTTTGACAGCTAGAAAAGGTCAATACTGTCATCAGACACTAGACGGCAGCAGAGGGAATTCATTGGTAGGGTGTAAAATGGGCTTGGTGAAGTGTCCTTCATGACTAACATGTGGTATCTTTTTATGCCGTGACAGTTTCCCAGTGAAATACTCTCATTTTCTGAGTACTAGCCGGGTATTTTGTATTCCTGAAACAAATATAATGTATGCCTTTTACCACATATGTGTGCATGTGCGTCAGAAAAGTTCTGTGTATAATGTGAAAGGTTAGTAAGCTACAACTTGAGACAACTCAAACCAAGAACCTGTGTCATGATGAACGGGACACAGTACTGAAGCAAAACACACTAGAACAAGTAACTTCCATACTGAGTGATGGCCTTCCTAAGGCTTTTGAGCAGAGGTGTAGAATCAAAGACTTTGGCTGGCTGAAGGAAAAATCATAAAGGAAGTGAAACCCTCTTGGCCCATTCCATAATTCCCTTTAGGAAGCAGTGCCCCATGCTGACTTCTAGCTGCTCAGGATGTTCCCATCTCTTTTAGCACCTAGGAACATTCTCAGGAATCCCAAATGGTCCTGCTTTTCCTATTTACTGTTGGTCCCATTCCTCTCTCCCAAGCTACCCAATCTGGTTAAGATTATGCCTTAACTAACAGTGAAGTCCACTCAGAGTGACTATCATGGTGGAATCACAGGCAAATCAGTGAAGGAGCTCTTTCAGCTCCCTTTGGCTGCCTCCCAGACCCGGCTGGCGCGGGAGTTGCCAAGTCTCTGATTGACGTGGTGCAAAGAAACCCTTGGGCCCATCTCTTCCCCTCAGAGTGTCTACAGTGTTGATTGATTTTAGCCAACAAAATCTCTTTCCCTGGGGACTTGATCTGAAGAACATAATTAAGAGCTTTCAATTCATCTTCTCAAAGGCAGCCACTGTCACTCTTTCTCAAAATCTGGTGGATCCTCCCAGTTTCTTCTGAATTCATCCCAATAGTCCTCTGCTGGGAAGAGGTCCCTCCGAGGCCCTTGTAGGAGCTGTCCACCTTCCAGGTGCTGAATGTAGAATGTATTCAGCACTTTTCTTACTTACCGTGGTATGCCCTTTGAGTTTGGATCTACTGTTTTAATCACTATACATATTGTCTAGTTAGTGTTAGCCAGCCTAGAGTATGTGTATGGGTGTGTGTGTGTAGTTTCTGCCTTGTTCCAATGTTTTACAGTCCAAAGCATATAGAATTTATAACAGATTCTTTCCATCTTTAGGGAAGGAGGAATTCAGTGTGTGAGTGAGAGGTTCACTAGTTAAGTATCCTTGTCTTCCTTCACTTCCTTATTTTGTGTAAACTAGATATTTTTCTGGTGGACCTCTAGAGTGCCCTCTTCTTGTGGTTGTCCTAAGGCAGTGATGGTGAACCTTTTATAGACTAAGTATCAAACTGCAACCCCAAGCCCATTTGTTTATTGCAGAGTGCCACCGTTGCAATTAAATCTGAATATTGAGGTTTTAGTTTAGAAAAATCAACTCATACATTAACATCTTTTGTCTTAAAAGAAAAACAGTAACAGAGCTTGCAGTGATACAAACAGTTTTTGATTGAAAGATAAAAGTTCACATTTGGCATGCTTTTGCACAGCTAATGTGACCCTCACTGTTGTAAGCATGCTGATAATTTGTCAAGCCTTGGCTGAGGTGACTTGGCTCACATGCTCGCAGAGAGAGATCTGCATGCCTGCTGCAGCACATAAGCCACAGGTTCCCTACCAGTGTTCCAGGGTTTACAGTGTGGGTCATAATTCACAACAGTCTACTTCAGATTGATACTAACTTAATTCTGACAGGATATAGAATCTTTGTTCCATTATAGCTCCATTTCCCCCTGCCATCTTGTTGCCATTATTATAATATACATCATATATTTATATATATGTATATATCTCCCAACAATACAATACAGCTTTACAGTTTTGTTTAATCTGCTCTTTTCAATTAAAGGAAAAGAGGAAATATATCCATATATATTTTATATTTCTTACCTATTCATATTTCCAGGTGCTACTTAATCCTTTAATGATTGTACTTATCTTTGCTACCATTACTTTCATCCTTTACTGTAAGTAGGGAAGATAGATCTGCTAGCAAGAAGTTATCTGTGTCTTTGCTGGGAAGCCTTTATTTCATCTTCATTTTTGAAGGATGTTTTTGCCAGATAGAGAATTCTTGACTGACAGGATGTTTTGTCCCCTTTCAGCACTTCTAATGTGTGCTCGACAGCATTCTGGACTTCGGTGTTGATAAGTTTAGCCACTGATTGTTTTTATGTTTCCCTTTACAGAGTGAGCTATTTTCTTTTGCTGCTTGCAAGATTTTCACTTTGTGTTTGGCTTCAGCGTTTTCATTGTGGTGTACATTGGGTGTATCTCTTTGTATCTACCCTATTTGCAATTCTTTGACCTTCTGTGATGAGTACGATGATCTTTGAGGGTGGTCAAATTTGGGCAGTTTTTTAGCCACCACCTTTCATGTTGTTTTCTACCCCTTCCTCCTTTCCTCCTTTGTAAATGTTGGTAGCCCTGACATTGCCATAGATGTCTCTGGCACTGTTCACTTTTCTTTATTCTTGTCTATCTCGGTTTTTCAAATTGGGCGGTTTCTATTGATCTATCTTCAAATTCACCAACTCATCTGCCATGTCAGATCTCCCGTTAAGCTCCTTCAGTGAATTTATCATTTCAATTATTTCGCTCTTCAAGTGAAGGATTTCTATTTGATTTTAAAAAATAATTTGTCTTTTAAAAATATTTTATGTCATTATATTGTGTGTGT